GTAAGGGGCGTTACATTTCCGACGAGTGCTTGCGGTGTTCGGCCAATCACAATGCACTGGGTCAGCTGGCCAATCAGAGCAGACTGCGCTTGTCGGAAGGAGGGACTTTGTAGAAAACAAAGCCTTTGAGAGAGGCGGGGCATAGAGGACCTACAATAATGTACCGTATTTGAAAAATAATGTGTTTTTTGAACATTAAAGCATGTCAACATATTCTGTTACACCAAAACACAAAATAATGATCTTTAAAAAAGCATCATATGACCCCTTTAAAGGAAACATGCAGAAGGCATCTATGCCTTCTATGTCAGAATCGCAACTATGCTATTGTTTCAGGATGTTTTGAGTTGTCACTCAAAATGTATGTGTCCAAAAGAGGAGTGAACTGTACTGCAGTGTGTATGTGGCCAGTGTCCATTAAAAAGACTTTTATACTTTAATTTATTGTGACCCTTCTTCTCTGGCAGAAACACGGGCTGGTCATCATACCCGAGGATATGCCCAATGGAGATGTCAGCCACGAGTCCCCTACCTCAGGCATCACTGTGGTCACACAAGAGGCAGCGCAGGTGCTGGAGTCAGCGGGAGACGGACCTTTGGGTGAGTCTCCACATACACTGTCAAGCTTATATATATTAGTATGAAACAATGGCATAATACTTGTCTTCTGTTTTCATACCCCAGATGTAAGACTACGAAAGCTTGCAGATGAAAAGGATGAACTTTTGTCCCAGGTATGATTGTACATGAAGTGAATTAAAATATATTATTGGCATTGTTGAATTGAAGTAACACAACTAACGCTCTTTTAGTATATATACATACATACAGTGTATATATATATATAAGGATGAAACAATGGCATAATGCTTGTTTTCTGTGCTCATACCCCAGATGTAAGACTACGAAAGCTTGTGGATGAAAAGGATGAACTTTTGTCCCAGGTATGATTGTACATGAACTTCATGAAGTGAATCAAAATGGATTATTGGCATAGATGAGTTGAAGTGACACATATGTGCTCTTTTAGATCAGAAAACTAAAGATGCAGCTGGAGGAAGAAAGACAAAAACACTTAAAGATTGACAGTGTTTACACAGAAGGAGAGCGAATGGAGAACGGCACTGACCTGCATTTCATCGAGATGCAGAGTATGACCTGTGAAACATGCTACGCACACACTGAAGTCTCCATTAAAGGGATAGTTCACCCAAAAATCTAATTTTGATGTTTATCTGCTTACCCCCAGGGTATCCAAGATGTAGGTGACTTTGTTTCTTCAGTAGAACACAAAGTCACCTACATCTTGGATGCCCTGGGGGTAAGTAGATAAACATCAAATTTTCATTTTTGGGTGAACTATCCCTTTAACATCCTTCACATTTACCTTCACATGTACCATGCTATAATACTGTCTGTTTCCTATAGGGGACGCCAATAGACAGATAAGTGAATACAAATTCAAGCTTTCAAAGGCTGAACAGGAAATGGCAACGATGGAACAAAATGTGAGTTTATAATTAGAACATTATAAAGTTATTATAGAAAGTAGATACCCTAGAAAGTATAACCTATATAACAATAGTATAAAATGTAACAGAAATATTATTGATGTATAATTTGCACAGAAAAATGAAGCCTATTTAGGACCAATAAGATTTTTTTAGGGTTGTGACAGTTTTAAAGCAATGACAGTTTTTTCATGTCCATGTTTTTCCACTTTTTTAGTTTATAAAGAAAGAAGTCTGTTTGATCACCAAGGCTGCATTTATTTGAACTAAATACAATAAAACACAATTGAATATATATATATTTTTTTTATTAGAATATATTTTAAAATAAAGTAATTTATTCCTGTGGTAGTAAAGCTGAATTTTCTACATTATTACTCCAGCCTTTAGTGTCACATGATCCTTCAGAAATCTTTCTAATATGCTGATTTGCTGTTCAAGAAACATTACATAAAGCTGCTCAATATTTTTGGTGAAAGCTGTGATGCCTTTTTTTTTCAGGATTGTTTGATGAATAGAAAGTAAAAAAAAAAAAAGGTTTATTTAAAATAGACATTTTTGTAACAACGTAATACTGCCACTTTTGACCAGTTTAATGCATCTTTGTGTGTGTTTATATATTAGTTTTTTTGTGCAATTCCCATTATTTTCAGTGGTGACCTCTTACTGAGAATTCAAACATTTTTTTAAATAATTTAAAATTCAAATTGTATTTGTAAGATGCAATTTATACATTTAAAATATGAATTTATAAATTAAAAATACTAATCACTAATTAAATACAATTATTTTAAAATATTGCCACTTTTTGATTGATTGATTGATTGATTGATTTTTTTAATAAATAATTGTTGTTAATGTTAAAAAATGATTGAATATTAGCATAACTGTTGTATTTTTTTGTATGTGTCTTTCAGGTAAATAGACTTGAAGGACAGGTGTCCAGATATAAATCTTCAGCAGATAATGCAGAAAAGATAGAAGATGAGCTGAAAGCAGAGAAAAGAAAACTTCAGAGGGAGGTATGAACCCAACACTGAAGAAACTTGCCATTCAAACATATCTAATACTGACCTATACACATATCACACATTCAAGGTTCCCGTAATCATAACCTCTGATGTCTGGTCCTGGAAAAGTCATGGAAAATATCTGTTAAATTTTTTAAAAATAGTACCCGATGCCAAATCCAAGAGTAGAGAAAATCAAACTCTTCTCATATTAGCAGTCACAGAAAAGAGTCATCCTCACACATCTCTTTTCCTTTTGTAGCTGCGCACAGCCTTGGACAAGATCGAAGAAATGGAAATGACCAACAACCATCTCATAAAGCGTCTGGAGAAGATGAAAGCAAACAGAAATGCTCTTCTGTCCCAGCAGTGAAGAGAGACTCTCCAACACCTTACAGTAGGACACCAAAAACAAAACTGCAGGCCCTTTACCTTCTTTCCTCGCCTCTCGTGGTAAAATACAGATTTACACCCCACTAAGGCAACACTGTGAGGGAGGAAGCCTCTAAACCTTTTCTTCTGTTGGTTTTGTTGTTTTTAAAAGCTTGGTACATCACGGTAGCCGTTGAGGTTTCATTGCTCGGACTGGGTGCTTTTTCCCCCTCCTCTTTTGTAAGTTGCACGAGTATAAAAGCGCTTTTTAAACTGTAAATCGACATGACTGCAGGGCCCTCGACGTCCATGTAAATGCTTACACAGCAATGTGCCTTCACAGGGAGGACGAGGGTTATATGCATTATAACACTATACAGGAAAAGCATATATTTCTACCGGTACAAAAAACATTAATGTGTTTAATAAAGGGTACAGCCATGAGTTGAACATTATAGAGAATTAATCATGTCTGCTATGGTTTCAATTAAGTATTTTTGTTTTGTTTTTCAAATATTTAAAATATTTCTTGAAAATAAATGTGTAAATGAATGCAGTATGAATGGGTGGGTGATTCATGAAATGTGATTGTTTGCAGGGCACATTGAATTTTGTTAGGGTTTTTTTTTTTTAAGTGCTTTGTCACAATGGACTACATCAATTTTACACTAAATGTAATGATTTTAACTCCCAGTAAGAGACCGATGTTTCTACTGTGACATTGTGAGATTTGAGATTCAAGTCCCAAATGCCACTTGATGCCTTTCACGATACTGTTGTATTCAGGTTTGGTGCAACTTTTTAATCACACTAGAAACCAATTGTTTGACACTTCATGCGCACAGTGATTGTGACTAAAGCAGCTGCAAAGTATACTGTAAATAAACTACACAATTTACAAACTAACCTCTCTCAGTAATTATTTTTGGACTTTAAGGTGAAGTGTAATTTCTACACCACAGAATTGCAATCTGTTTGATATAGCCCAACATAACAGCACTGGCTCAACCGATGGCCACATGCATGTAAAAGCAGCCTTTAGTGCACACTATAATTAATGGAAATAAAAGAACATTATGCAATGTTAAACATTTCAAACATGAATATGTTGCATTTACACATTGCATGTTTATGTTAAAGGAATAGTTCACCTAAAAATGAAAATTTGCTGAAGATGTACTCATCCTCAGGCCATCCAAGATGTAGATGAGTTTGTTTCTTCTTGGGAACAGATTTGGAGAAATGTAGCATTACATCACATGCTCACCAATGGATCCTCTGCAGTGAATGGGTGCCGTCAGAATGAGAGTTCAAACAGCTGATAAAAACAGTTAAAAAGCCTTGATGGACTTCTTACAAACACACAGCTTTTTCAACATTGATTGATGGACTGGAGTTGTGTGGATTATTGTGATGTTTTCATCAAATGTTTGAACTATGCAGAACTATTGAGTGAAATATTCCTTTAATTTTTGCCATTCAGGTTGGTGCCGTTAGTGGTACAAAATGACACTTCACATTAAATATGTGAAAAAATAATGTTCTTGTTGATGTGCTTTATTTGGCATCTAAATCACACTTTTGGATTTATCCAATTAGCTTTGGATAAAAGCATCTGCCAAATGCATAAATGTGTAAGTGCATTACGGTATTAAATACAGTAATGAAAACTTGTTTAATATTTCAAAATAGTCTTTTTTTATTCATTTGCAGTACAAATATCTATACATTCTTGGTTTAATGTTAGCTAGTCATCTAAAATAATGTGACAGGCTGTTTACCGCTGTCAGTCATTTTGAGTTAGTCAGCTGACCCACAAAACACAGCCATTTTTGATAGTACAGCATTGAAACCATTACACAGAACAACAGAGTACTAAAATTCAGCATCTTTCAAAGACTTTGTAGAGTTCTGGCAGTCTGGCGATCTGCAGAACACTGCCGTCTTCACTGAAGTGTTTTGGAGGACTGAAGAGCGAGCAGGGGGCTTTGAAAAGCATATGCTCCACCTTCCACTGCCAGCTCATCTCTGCATCCTACAAATAATTAACACATTAGTTAGTCTCTAACATAAAAATAATTTGGGTTTCAGTCGATTTTCAGTGCATTATGTTTAGAATAGCATATTATATTTCTATTGCAGTTTGTGCAATATATATATATATATATATATAAATACAATTACCCAAAATTATGTCTGGTTTTTGTGTGTAACATTTGAACTACCTGCGGCTCTTCTGCATCCGGCTCCAGTGTGTATCGTTTCCTTATGGAATAGAAGTGACTGCATTCTATGGCAACTGCATTCTAAACACTCCTCTCGATCCCAGTTCACCTGCAGTATCCATCAGTCTTTTAGTTGCATCTGGATTTGATTTTTTAACCAATGTCCATTATATACAAACCCCAATAAACTACATTTCAATAAAGTGCTGACCTCAGTGGCTAAACGCAGACTGAACATGGGAAGTCCCTCCATGGCAGGAGAGTAATTATCGAGCAGCATTGGGAGACCAGTCAGGTTCCCCTCCTGTAAAGAAATGCATCAGTTTTGTAAAAGCAATAATCAACAGTGATTTTTTTTTTTAACCATAATTAGACAGGTTTTCTAGCAACAACCTTAGGTAAAATAAATACAGCCTCTTGAGCTTATTGTGAATCAGTTATACTGATGTAAGTTTAGTATGTGTCACTCACTCCATCTATTTCCAGAGAAAAGTACTCTTCCAGCATTTCTGCTTTCTGCTTCAGGAAATCCACGATATACTGAGCCAGTCCTTCTTTTGGACCGTCCTCCTCCGTCCATCCACTCTCCTCTGAATCCAGAGCCAACATGGCCAAATCATAAGAGTGGAGCTGGATTCTAAAGAAACACAACTTTAGTTTTTAATCTGTTGAATGCATGTGATGTATCATATAGTTAACAGATTGTTTTCAATAAAAATACAGGTTGCTGCTCAATATCTTGCCGGAGCTCCTTTATGTTGGTCAGTTTAATGACGCGTCTCCTGGGTAGAGAGGCGGCCGTCAAATCCTCCTTCACCTCCAGACATTTTCCTGAAAGACAGATCGAAAAAACAACAGGTTGATCTCTGCTTGGAAAGAGTACATACACTGAACAAAATTATAAACGCAACACTTTTGTTTTTGCCCCCATTTTTCATGAGCTGAACTCAAAGATCTAAGACTTTTTCTATGTACACAAAAGGCCTATTTCTCTGAAATATTGTTCACAAATCTGTCTAAATCTGTGGTGTTGCGTTTATAATTTTGTTCAGTGTAGAAGTGGAAGTAGAGAGGTTAATGACTGGGGCTATTTTCTCAGTACAGACATGTTGGCCAACTTTAACAATTTAATGTCAAATAAAGGTATTCTTCTCAAAACAGTGTCATCATAAAAATAGCAACCTTTACTATAACAGAAGCCCCACACAAAACTCCTCAACAGCCTGTTTTCTGCATTTCACCTTGGTGGTGCTTCATGGGGATGAGGTTGACTGTCTTGTCTGTTGATCCTTGGCGTCACACGGCTCCAGAACATCAAGAGCATTCAGCAGCTCTGAGTCGTCTGGCTCGGCTGGACCTTGAGCGGCAGTGGAAGAGCTGGAGGTTTTATCTGACCTGCTCTGAGCAGCAGAAGATTAGGCTGATAAATAAGTAATTTATCCTGATTCCAGTGCCGTTGTCCTGAATCAGGATGAGCTTTAGTCCGCCTTCTTGTAGTCCGCGGACTACTTCAAATATTTGGCATGCTAAATATCTGGAGCTGCCGGCGATTCACAATCGTGAACACAGCAGCAACTGAATGCTACCCCAGATAGTCACGCAGTGTGAAAACAACGGCGATCCGGCGAGTTTGAAAATCGTGCAGTGTGAACTCGGCATAAGTTTGTCTGCCTTGGGAAAGTTAGCGTGTCTGCGACATAGTGATGATAACACTCGTTGCCTTCTCTAGTGCAGCTCAACCAGGTCTCATCCCATTCGTCGATATTTGTGATATCACAAATCTCGGAAAATATGCGTTGTAGTCCAAACGAGTCGTTCGTTGTAGTTTTTGAAAAGTTTCTGTTAAATAAAATATCTCCTTTTGAAGTGGACTTTGAGCTTTGTAACTTTGCAGATCTTTTTTATGCTCAAACAGCAACATTACAGACTAACTAAAGTTGAAAAAGTGAAAACGCATAATAGGACCCCTTTAATAGTTTTTGTTCAAGTTAGCAAATACCAACACTGAAGCTAAAGAAAGAGCTTTTACATTAAACATGAGTGTTTATTAGTGATATGTAAAGTCGTGCCAGATAATAATGTACAATAAAGTGACATCACACCAATCATTAGTAATCAATAAGCGTCATTATCTATTAGTGACTATATTCGTTTTTAGTCAGTACTTGTTTGTTTATTGGTGACGAACCTCTACGACACCAGTTATTAGGCATAAATTAATAAAATCTCATCAGACAGAAGTTATTATAGTGCTCAATAAATGACTTGTCACCAGGGGCAAGTTCAAGCTCAAACCGGTGTGCACCGTTTTGCTACGGTTTCCGGTTTGAACGACATGTTTCCTGGAAACGGTGTGCAACAGGGTTTGAGATACGTTTTCTCTTGTTTGATGGGTGTGTCAAACATGTCAACCCAATGTTCAACGCACTACCGTTTCCGTTTAAAAAACGTTTTGCGCCGTTTTGTCAGGGCTGAACGCAGCCCAGTTCTCCATCATCTCTTTGATAGCATTGGCAGGCCGCTGGATAATCTCTCCGGCCGCGGAGTGCCGTTAGTAGACCCAAGTAGTGTCAGAGGCTGCGGGGTCAAGATGAACCCTGAAGATTGATACTACTAAACAGTTTTAACCAGTCCACGTTCTAATGTGCATAACTCAGGTGAATATATATGTATAAAGGTGTGTTTTAAATTTGTCTTTCATGTGTGATAGCTCAGGCAAGTTTTAATCACTACACGAACAACAAAAGCCCATTTCACACATACAGTCTTTACTGGTAAATTAATTACCATTAAGAGATCATGTGTGAAGAGGACCTTTTAAAAAATACCTGTTAAGTCATTCTAGCAATTTACTGGTATGAGAAGTTGTAAAATTACCAGTAAATTATCGGTCTCTGAATTTACTGGTATTTTGAAACTGATGTGTTAATGGTGCTTTACCGGGAAAAAGACGGAACGATGTTGCTTGTGTGAACAGCGCAATTTTGTATTTACCGGCAAAGTCGTTCCGGTAATTTTACGGCAATTTACTGGTATTGCTGTGTGAAAGGGGCTAAAGACAGTAACAGAAATGGATACTTAAATATCGCAACACCATTTGCATCTGTAATTTTTACCCCTTAACGCAGTTATGACCAATCATTATTAAACGTAACTTTATAAGCCAATCAGCTTTTAGGATCACTTGGCGTCATCATCAGGCCCGCTCGTGGTTTTGAACTCAACAGAATTAGTAGGCTATGTATCCAAATGAAAAACAAAAATTTAAAATATTCAAAACAACAACCAACTAAACTCCATTCATTACAGTATAATTGTTAATATTGGTTGCTATGTGGACCCATTGCTTGATTTGTTCTTTTGACAAGTGTACAGAATTAGTAGGCTATGTATCCAAATGAAAAACAAAAATTAAAAATATTCAAAACAACTAAACCAACTAAACTCCATTCATTACAGTATAATTGTTAATATTGGTTGCTATGTGGACCCATTGCTTGATTTGTTCTTTTGACAAGTGTAACATTCATAGTTTTACTAAATTAAATGGTCAGGCCAATCCATTTTATTATTTTTTTAAATTAAATTTAAACATTAAATCAAATACTGATTTTGTACAATGTAAATTATTATTATTGTTGTAGTTGTTGTTAAATATGATATTGATAGATAATCTATTTCCTCTTTTGTGTTGTTTTTTATAGTCTAGTTTTTTCCCTTTTTTATTTTTTGCATAAATGAAACTTGGTAACATGTTTATTTTAGTCAATAAATTAAACATTTTTCTTAATATAAGCAAACGTAATAAATTGGAAATACTTCATACAAGAAAAAATATTGATTATTACTTGATTATTTTAGTTTGTAAACAAGTATAAAATCATGTGAATGTAAAGTCCCCATTATGATAATGAGGACTTAATTTTCTATATTTTATAGAAAAATGCTTGTGTCAGTATTTAAAGGGCTAGTAGGTGATGCTTGTAACGACCAGATACACTGAAAATTTTTTATTTCTATGCATATAGTCATGAATCTTTTCAAATGAACAGGTTTTGGTTTATATGACTTCACTTTATCTTTTGATGGCATGCTGAATACTGACATGAAACCTGTTGGAAGTTGACTGTTGTGTTGACTTCTGTTGAATAACTGAATGTGTCTGGTATAAATGTAGAGCTGTTGCTTTCATTTAATGGTAGCCTTCAGCATAAATTATGCATATGTGGTTTGCAAATTGCTGGATTGGTAAGGAAACGGGTAAACATCTAGTGAAATACTGCTTTGTGTCAGCTATTTTAGACAGTTCATGCTTGTGGAGAAGGTACTGTTACCTCCACACCACTGTGTAAACTGTCCATTTATAAGAGGTCTGTTGATGTGCACATTGTGATTCACTTGCAAAATAATATCCCCGAAAATGTTTATATCCTTTAGATATCATCAGATTTAATTATGAATCCAAAATATAATAGGCTATTATAGTTTATTTGTTTATTGTTCGAAAGACTGAATGCTTTGTCATAGCAACAGAACATTTTTATTTATTTTTTAAGTGCATATTTATAGGGAAAGAAATAGCTTTCAGACTATCATAATGTTTTATGGCGTTAAAGGGAAAAGTTTTGAACTACTTCAACTATATAGCATCACAAAACAGCCAGCAGGGGGCAGAAGATAAGAGTGATTGTGTAATGCTTTCTGGTTAAAGGGAAGAAGCTCGAGATGATCCAGTTCAATACAGTTTCTTTTACGAAAGAGATATAATTCTGTCCTGAGTGTACCGAGTTATCTGGTTCACACAGCTGACAGACTTATTTATTCAATGAGTCATAGACCACAGTGCAAGCATGCAGCCTGTCTTGTATAATTTTTGTTTCATGAATCTGTCTTGTATCTTTTTTTATGTTTCATGAATATAGGAAGGTATATTCTGTGTTAAAACAGTTTATACATTTGATTTAGCTTCATTTAATGGTCTTAAGACATTTTTATAAAGTAACAAACAAATTTGACAAATCATGCATAAATGAAAATGAAGTCATCTTTTACTCATGTAACCCCATGACCTACTTTCTTCTGTGAACACACAAATATATTTTATTTCTTATAATGACTTCATTCATTATCCTCATGTCAATTACATTGATCAGTTCTGGAAAAATGGATAATAATGAGCTACTGTACAGTACAGGAGTCACATCAAGTGTTTCCAGCTCACCCACACTTCATTTTGTTCTGAAATCATGTGGTTGAGCTCCTCACAGTCTTCCTGCGGCTAGACAAATATGTCTTTTCTCGCTCGCTCACATGTAGGTATGTGAGGAATTTTGTTTCTTTGTTCTCTCATATTTTGAATGCAAATGTAAGTAATACCTGAAACCAGTTCTCTTCCTCTCAGAGTTGAGCTGTAAATCTTTCTCTTCAACACTGTCCCATGTTTGCTGCACTGAATTCACACTGAACCTTTGTACAAGCCTGTTGAATGAACAGGTCTGACCAATGCTGAACAAGAAGCTATGTGTGCAACATTCCCTGTCAGGTCTCTCTCACATGGTTTCTCTAAAGCTTAACCTGTTAACTACATGTAGGTATGTGAGGAATTTTGTTTCTTT